TCCAGTTTAAACCAACAACGGCACCCTTCTTGTTCCTAGGCTACTCTTGGGCCTCTAAACCCTGAACCTAAACCCTAAACCCTGAACCCCAAACCCTCAACCCTCAACCCTCAACCCTAAACCTTAAACCCCAAACCCCAAACCCCAAACCCCAAACCCCAAACCCCAAACCCCAAACCCCAAACCCCAAACCCCAAACCCCAAACCCCAAACCCTAAACCCTAAACCCTAAACCCTAAACCCTAAACCCTAAACCCTAAACCCTAAACCCTAAACCCTAAACCCTAAACGAGAGAGCTGATGCCTTCAGTTCTCCACCTCCGTCGTGGGCCTCGGCACCGGAAGGGCGATGGACCGGTGGCTGCTCGAACAGGCTGCCAAGGCTCGCAGAAGGAATTGCTGTAGGGTTTAGGGTTTAGGGTTTAGGGTTTAGGGTTTAGGGTTTAGGGTTCAGGGTTCAGGGTTTAGGGTCTTCTTCACTTCTTAACTCTTTTGCGATGCAGTACATAGAGGCCAGACACACATTTTTCGGCTTCGAATTTCGGGCATTAAGGGCTTTCGAAAGCAGATGATTTTCGGGGTAAACTGTATTGGGTTTGCAGGGATTGTAGGCTTAATAGGGCGTATAGGTTTTGGGGTTTAAAGATTTTAGGGTGTGCCGCTACGCAAGAATTCGCCTCCGAGCCGGCGTGAGCGGTCTCCCCTTCGTCATGCTTCTGTTCCTTCGTCTTGTTCCGGAGTAGGGGCCCCCTGTAATGGGCAAGACAGCCAAGCCAGTGGTTCTCGGAGGACAGACAAGCGAGCTGGCAGGTCTATTGTCCTGTCATTGGTTGCCAGTGCAGTGACCCCTCCCGTAGCCCAGGATGGGCCAGTGATGCCACCATGCGCTCGCACATCGACTCCCATTTGGCTGGAACGCTTGCTGGGGAAGTCCCGGCTGCTTGGATGGAGTCCCGGCAACGCATTCGTTGTCCGTGTGTGGCCTCAGTGTCTCAGAGCGTTTTGGAGTGCATCCCACATGTCGGCCTGAAGCGCGCGCCGCTGCCGTGGACGGGGACAGCCCCATGGAGGTGGATGGCCTGCCTTTGCCCGCGTTGGAGGAGATACAGTCCGCCCGGACGCCCACTCTTCGGCATGTGCCCACAGCGGCTCGACACACCTGGGCTCAGGTCTTGACTCGTGCCTTAGCTGCTGTGGCCCATCACAATGATGAAAGGTCGTGGCGTGAACTACTCATGCTTCCTCAATGTGTCCTTTCTGCTCCCCCACGCGGGGCCGCAAACATAAAAGGGCAGCTGCTGCGTTCACTCTGGACCGCTTGCAGCGCTGGCAAGAGGGGGAGCACATGGCCCTCTGGCACACTCGCCCGGTGCACCAGCGCCGCACGGGCACTCCCCCCACCCCTGAAGAGAGACGGGACATGGCTGTAGCTTTCGGGCGTGAAGGTTTCGACAGAAAAGCGTGCGCTGCTCTCATGTCCCCGGGGCTTTGCCCGCCCAATGCTGAGACCGTGCGCTCGCTGGAAGCTCTTCACCCTCAAGGGCCACCTCCTTCGGAGCGGCTTCTCCAGGACCTGCCACTTCCTCCTGACATTGCCCCCGAGCTGGTTGCGAGGTCATTGCGAGCTTTTCCTGCTGAAACGGCGCCAGGCCCCACCGGGCTGCGCGTCCAGCACTTGCGCGAGGCCTGCCTTGCGGGCGCTGCCGACAACCTGCTCGCGCAACTGGCCGCCGTGGTGCAGCTCTTGGCGCAGGGTCGGGCCCCTGCCTTTGTGGCTCCTGTTCTTGCTGGCGCAGGTCTGGTTGCTCTTCCCAAACCTTCTGGAGGGGTGCGCCCAATAGCTGTGGGTGAGTTGCTGAGACGTCTCACAGGGAAATGCCTCATGGCATTGGTGCAGGATGATGCTAGGACCCACTTTTGGCCGGCGCAGGTTGGTGTGGCCGTGAAGGGCGGTGCTGAGAAAGCCATTCACACTGTGCGCGCCTGGGCCAAGCGTCACGCCGGCTCCTCCAGCAAGGTTTTGGTAAAGCTTGACTTCAGCAACGCTTTCAACAGTGTAAGCCAGGAGGCTGTCCTTCACCAAACCACTGCCAACTTCCCCGCCATGGCCAGATGGGCTGTCTGGTGCTACCGGCAGCCTACGCGCTTGCAGTTCGGAGAGCGCACCCTGGTGAGCTCGTCCGGAGTCCAGCAAGGCGATCCCTTGGGCCCCTTGCTGTTCTCTGCTGCTCGCAGCCGGTGGCTTCGGAGCTGCGCGCCTGCCCCCTGGACATTGCTGTTCATTTTCTGGACGATGGTATCTTGGCTGGGGATATTCCCGCGGTGGGGGCTGCCTTGCTACAAGTTCAGCGCCGCGCTGCGGAGATCGGGCTTGCGCTGAACCTTGCCAAATGCGAGGTTGTGGTCTGCGGGCCAGTGCCGGCTGCTGCTTTGAGCGCCAACTTCCCGTCTGCTATGTTGCGAAAACACGACGGCGCCAGCAAGGTCCTCGACAATTTCGAGTTCCTTGGAGCGGCCATTGGGAGCGATTCCTTCGTGAATGACCACACTGGACAGCGTGCCGCCAAAGCTGCTGAGCTTTTAAACGCCTTGGCTGACTTGGACGACCCCCAAGTGGCTTTGCGCCTCCTTCGCGCCGGTGCTGGATACACTCGGATGGTGCACAGTATGCGCTGCAATCCTCCGCATGCCCAACGCGGCGCCCTGGATGGCTTCGACGACATGGTAAGGCGCTCCTTTGCCAGTTTCACCGGCATCCACCCAATGGCTGCACAGTGGCGACAGGCGGGGTTAGGCTATGCGCGAGCGGGGCTGGGACTCCGCCGCACTGTCGGGCACGCTCCCGCCGCCTACTTGGCCTCTTTAGGGAAGAGCTTGTCTGCTTGTGTTGAGCTGGACCCATCCTTCTCCGGCAACGACCTGCTCAACGACCCCGATGTGGTCCAGGCGCTCAACGCCCTCAATGCCCAGCTCCCGGGTCATCGAGCCCTTACCTTGGAAGCTGTCACGGGCAGCAGCCAGCGAGACCTATCGCAGCACATTGACTCGGCGGAGTGGGATGCCACTGTTAGCTGCTGACACGGCTACCCGGGCGGCTCTTTTCTCGGAGGCCGGAGCTGGGGCCCGCGCCTTCCTCGCCGCGCTACCGGCCGGGAAAGCGCGCGTGGAGCCAGCCATCTTCACTACTGAGTTGGGGGTCCGGTTGGGCGTCCCTGAAGCCGCTGAAGATGTCTGGTGTCCACGTTGCGATGGTATCCTGGACTCCTGCGGACACATGCCGCTATGTGTGTAGCCGGCGGGGAACGCACGCAGAGGCACAATGCCGTCCGTGACCTAGTCTGCAATTGGGCGGAGCGGGCAGGGTTGCGACCCGAAAAAGAAAAGACTGGGCTGTTGCTCCCGCAGTGCCCGGACGACACTCGCTCTGCTGGCAGACGCCCTGCTGATGTTTACTTACCGGCCTTGGCCGGGTCTCCTGCTGCACTTGACTTCGCCGTCACGGCGCCACAGCGACAGGAGACCCTGGCCAAGGCCAGTAGGGAAACAGCTGCAGCGGCTGCTGACTACGCCAGGCACAAAGAGAACCACCTCAACACTGCGCAGTGCTGCGAGGCCCAAGGCATAGTCTTGTGCCCATGGTGGTAGAAAGCACCGGCACGTGGGACAAGGGCGCCGAGGTCGTACTTAAGCACTTGGCTCGGGCTGTAGCGGCTCGGACAGGTGTGGAATCGGCCACGACTCACGCGGCCTTGTTTCAGGAACTGTCTGTCACGGTGCGGTCCTGGCGCGCCCGGGCGGCCCTGCGCCGCCGCCAGGAGTTGGTGGAGTGAATGGGGATTGGCACTGGTTGTGGATGTACCACACAGATCCGTTCGGAGGCCCCCATAACGATGATGAGGCGTACACCTGCCTGGTATCTGCTTGGGTCCGGTCAGGTTCTTCTTGCGTCGCGTTACGGCCCATTGGCAAGCGTGGTGCTTGAGATCTCGCGGGACGCCGGAGACTCACGCAGGTGTCGGGGGCCTCGCCCTACGGCCGTCCATGTTCTCTGGGATGGACGCATCCTGCATCACCGGGTGTCGGACGCAGCTGGGCCTGTAGCTCTAGTGCTGCCGTGTTGTCCCCCTGTTTGCTACACTCGAATAGAGGCCGCCCGCAATTGAAGATCGACCCCCCCAATGCTGCCATTTCCTCCAGCCCCCCTGCGCGCGACCCTGAAGCCACACACCCCTAAACCCTAAACACCCAAAACCATAAACAAGCCCTAAACCCTAAACCCTCGACCTCGAAAGTCCAAAAACTCAACATTCATCAAGAATATTCTAGGGCCTTAAAACCCCGAATCCTCAGACCTTCGGCTCCTCTTACTCTCAAACTCCTCAACCCCCGAGACCTGGGCGCCGAAATATCTCCACACCCCTACACCCCCCCCCCAGAACCCCCTAAATCCCCACCCCAAACCCTAGCCCTAAACCCTAAACCCTAAACCCTAGACCCTAAACCCTACACCCTACACCCTACACCCTACACCCTAAACCCTAAACCCTAAACCCTAAACCCTAAACCCTAAACCCTAAACCCTAAACCCCCAACCCCCAAACCCACAACCCTAAACCCTAAACCCGAAACCCCCTGAAAAGCCGGGCACCATGCCTCAGCTTTCCACGCAGGCGGGCCATGGCGAGTTTCTGGCCCTCTCGAGCCCTGCATCATTCGACCAGGCTCGCAGGGTTTGAGGGTTTGGGAATTAGGGTTCAGGGTTCAGGATTTAGGGTTTAGGGTTTGAGGGTTTGGGGGTCAGGGGTTTGAGGGTTTGGGTTTGGGGTTCAGGGTTTTGGGTTTGGGGTTTGGGGTTCAGGGTTGAGGGTTTAGGGTGTAGGGTTTCGGTTTTAGGGTTTACCCCAAACAGGGTTGGACCCCTTTTATCTTTTGGGGCGGTTGGGGGGGGGGGGGGGGCACAGGGGGTTCCCGTCAAGCCTCAGGGTATCTCGGGGGTGCAGTAAGGTTGCCCCCTCTGTTTTTGAGGAAGCCTCCCACTTGATTTGCTTACCCGTGGGCCCGTCACAGCCCTTGTGACGGCCCATGTTGCTTGGGGTTCTTCCTGCGAGCTGAAATCCTACGTTCATTTCGACTTCAGCAACCTTCGTCGTAGTGCAGCAACATGAATTAAAGTCCCCACCATCCATCCCCCGGCACTCCAGGCCGCAGATCCTAAAATCCTAAACCCCAAACCCTCAACCCTAAACCCTACCCTCAGAGGTCGTGGCAATGGCAGGCCCGGGGCACTACCCGACGCTCGGAGAGGTTGGCTTCTCCCGCATGTCGCTGTGGAAGCTGATGTAGGCATCGCAAAGTAGGTTCAAGTTTCAGTACGATTTATCAGAAAGGTCGGTTGCTGATTCCTTTTTTTTTTCTGTCCCTTCTTATGGCTCTGAGGACCTATGCCTTCGATGTGACACTTCGCCTCTCAGTCTCCCACGGTGCACGCCTTGTCCGCAGCTATGGACACAGGCGCTGGGGTGGGGGGAAGGGGAGGAGGTTTAGGGTTTGGGGTTTAGGGTTTAGGGTTTAGGGTTTAGGGTTTGGGGTTTAGGGGAGCAGACCCAGCCGGGGCACAAGCGGGGCAGGCTTCAGGTCTCGTTTGGGATGCAGGGCTCAGGGGGTTACGACCTGCGCTCGACGCCCTCTGTTTTTTCATCCCCAGCCCTTGGCGCTCGGGAGACCTCAGGGTTAGGAGAACCCATGCCGCCCCGATCCCCCTAGACCCCAACACCTAAGCCGCTCAATAAAACTTTCAATCCAAGACCCGAAGCCCCTAAACCCACAAACCCCAAGACCCCAAAACCCGCAACCCCGAACTCCCAGTTCCGAAACCCCAAACCCTAAACCCTAAACACCCAAAAATATTCTAAAGCCCTAAAGCGGCTGTGCTTTCAGAACGTCATGGGCCCTTTTCTTGGTTCCGCTGCGGAAAAATACTAAGCCCTAAGCCCCAAAGTGGGGTAATAAGTGGGGTTCCCTAAACCCCAACCCCAAACCCCAAACCCCAAACCCTAAACCCTAAGCCCTAAACCCTGAACCCTAAACCCTAAACCCTAAGTTAGATCAATCTCCAGCTCATGTGGAGGCGGCGTGGCAGTCTTCAGCGCAGCCTGCCTTGCAAATGGCGGAATTCGGGATGGGGGGGGCGGGGGTGGGGGGTGGGGGGGTGGGGGTTCTACCCTGACTCCCGCCACCGTCCGGCCCCCCCTCAAAGAAAAGCAGTAGCAGGAATAGCGTGGTATACCAACAACATTAAGTTGCAGTATATGAGGGTTGTATTCAAAGGTCCCTGGTCTTCGTTTTTGGATGGAACGCCTATGTCCTGGCATATGGGTGATCCCCGAAGTGATGAGGGACCTTGGGGTTTCGGGTTTTGGGTTTGTAGGGGCTAGTTAGGTATAAAGGGACTTTGAGCCCGGGACAGATGCCACCCAGGGCCTTACTTGGCACTTCGAGACATAGAGCCCCAACTTTCGCGTGAAGGAAGATTGCGCGTATGTTTATATGCGCATCTCCTTACATATGTTACATACACACACGTACACATTTCTGTATATTCGTACACCTAGTTTCTCACGCTACAGAAAACATGTCCTAGTGTAGCATAAAAGAATTCGAAGCAGATTTTTGGTAAGCCCTAGCTCTGAAAGACCCTTCTCACATCTCTTTTTACTAATGTTTACCATAGGTGGTTCTACAGGAATGGTTCTTGGAAATGCTGCAGTAGATCTAGGGTTACATGATAGCACATCCTCATTCTGTTCTTTTTTCAGGAGCTATGAAATCTATCTTCTCTGGAATAGGTTTTAATCGAGAAAAGATTGCTGGTACTAAGAATTTATTACTTTCATCCTCTAGTACACTTTCTCTTTGTCATCTACATCTAGTATTTCTTGGTATTCTTCGTACCTTTTCCCCAATGCATTTCTTAGGGTTTAAAGTTATGCCAAGAAGAATCCCATCCTTTCCAGATTCTTTTAATTTAGACCCCCCTCGCAGGGCCGTGGTCCTCATCCGGTGCCGTGGCCACGGAAGAGGACCTCAGCCGCTTGGGTGGCTGCTCTTGTCATTTTTGTAGGTAGGGTTTAGGGATTGATTTAGGGTTTCGGGTTTAGGGTTTAGGGTTTCGGGTTTAGGGTTTAGGGTTTAGGGTTTAGGGATTAGGAACTTCTGGGCTTCGTTGCTCGTCCGGCCAGCAGGTCACCTGCCATGCATGTGGGGGTTCAGGGAAATCGCGGACCCCCAATACCCCGAAAGAGTAGGATCCCCTCATAAAAGGGACCCCAAGAAGGTACCCCCTGTTTTTCGGAAAATACCCCCGACTTGATATCTCCTGATCCTTTCGATCCTGGCAGGATGGGCTACTTCCGTTGGGAGTTCTGAGGCCGGCCGTGCTCAGCTCAACAGCCCTAGAGCCTTCTTCTCCCTCAGGTCGGATGCTCTCTCTGTGGACCTAAACCCTAAGCCCTAAGCCCTAAACCCTAAACCCTAAGCCCTAAGCCCTAAACCCTAAGCTCCAAGCCCTAAACCCTAAACCCTAAACCCTTAACCCTACACTGGCAAGCAAATAGGCGTCGAAGCCTGCAACCCTAGTGGCCACAGGGGGGGCTGAAAGGACGAAAGGGGTGACCTGTTCGGGGTATCGGGGCTACTTCGGGGCTACTTGGGTTTTGGGTTTTGGTTTTAGAATTTAGGGTTGAGGGTTTAGGGTTTTGTGTTCGTGCTCCCTTCCTGAAGCCTCAAACCTCTAAACCCCTAAACGCCTAAACCCCAAAACCTCTAGCGCCTAAACCCCTAAACCTCTAGCCCCCCAAACCCCTATATGCCCCTAAATCAAAGAATATGCCCCTAAACCCCTGAACCTCTAAACCGCTAAACCCCTAAATCCCTGAATCCCCATATGCCTTCTAAACCCTGTATGCCCCCTAAACCCTAAACCCTAAACCCTAAACCCTAAACCCCAAACCCTAAACCCTAAACCCTAAACCCTAAACCCCAAACCCCAAACCCCTTTAATTTATGCCCCTAAAGCCCGG